GTAGTAGTAGTTCTGGTAGGTGGTGGTGGTTGTAGTAATAGTAGTTCTGGTAGGTGGTGGTGGTGGTGGTGGTTGTAGTAGTTCTGGTAGGTGGTGGTGGTAGTAGTAGTAGTTCTGGTAGGTGGTGGTGGTGGAAGTAGTAGTTCTGGTATGTGGTAGTGATGGTAGTAGTTCTGGTAGGTGGTGGTGTTGTAGTAGTTCTGGTAGGTGGTGGTGTGTGGTAGTAGTAGTAGTTCTGGTAGGTGGTGGTGGTGGTAGTAGTTCTGGTAGGAGGTGGTGGTTTTAGTAGTAGTAGCTCTGGTAGGTGGGTGGTGGTGGTAGTAGCAGTTCTGGTAGGTGGTGGTGGTACTAGTAGTAGTAGCTCTGGTATGTGGTGGTGGTGGTAGTAGTAGTTCTGGTAGGTGGTGGTGGTGGTAGTAGTAGTAGTAGTAGCTCTGGTAAGTGGTGGTAGTAGTAGTAGTAGTAGTAGTTAGTAGTAGTAGTAGCTCTGGTAGGTGGGTTGGTAGTAGTAGTAGTAGTTCTGGTAGGTGGTGGTGGTAGTAATAGTAGTAGTAGTTCTGGTAGGTGGTGGCAGTAGTAGTAGTAGTTCTGGCAGGTGGTGGTGGTAGTAGTAGTAGTAGTAGTAGCAATAGTTCTGGTAGGTGGTGGTGGTGGTAGTAGTAGTAGTAGTAGTTCTGGTAGGTGGTGCTGGTAGTAATAGTAGTAGTAGTTCTGGTAGGTGATGGTGGTGGTAGTAGTAGTAGTAGTAGTAGTTCTGGTAGGTGGTGGTGGTGGTAGTAGTAGTACTAGTAGTAGTAGTTCTGGTAGGTGGTGGTGGTGTAGTAATAGTAGATCTGGTAGGTGGTGGTGGTGGTAGTAGTAGTAGTAGTAGTTCTGGTAGGTGGTGGTGATTGTAGTAGTAGTAGTTCTGGTAGGTGGTGGTGGTTAGTAGTAGTAGTAGTAGTAGTTCTGGTAGGTGGTTGGTGGTTGTAGTAGTAGTAGTTCTGGTAGGTGGTGGTGGTTGTAGTAGTAGTAGTAGTTCTGGTAGGTGGTGGTAGTAGTAGTAGTAGTAGTAGTTCTGGTAGGTGGTGGTGGTAGTTGTAGTAGTAGTAGTTCTGGTAGGTGGTGGTGGTTGTAGTAGTAGTAGTTCTGGTAGATGGCGGTGGTTGTAGTAGTAGTAGTTCTCGTAGGTGGTGGTGGTGGTGGTAGTAGTAGTAGTTCTGGTAGGTGGTGGTGGTGGTGGTTGTTGTAGTAGTAGTTCTTGTAGGTAGTTGTTGTAGTAGTAGTTCTGGTAGGTGGTGGTGGTTGTAGTAGTAGTAGTTTCTGGTAGGTGGTGGTGGTTGTAGTAGTAGTAGTTCTCGTAGGTGGTGGTGGTGATAGTAGTAGTAGTAGTTCTGGTAGGTGGTGGTGGTAGTAGTAGTTCTGATAGGTGGTGGTGGTTGTTGTAGTAGTAGTTCTTGTAGGTGGTTGTTGTAGTAGTAGTTCTGGTAGGTGGTGGTGGTTGTAGTAGTAGTAGTTCTCGTAGGTGGTGGTGATTGTAGTAGTAGTAGTTCTCGTAGGTGGTGGTGGTGGTAGTTAGTAGTAGTAGTTCTGGTAGGTGGTGGTGGTGGTAGTAGTAGTTCTGATAGGTGGTGCTGGTTGTGTAGTAGTAGTTCTGGTAGGTGGTGGTGGTTGTAGTAGTAGTAGTTCTGGCAGGTGGTGGTGGTTGTAGTAGTAGTAGTTCTCGTGGTGGTGGTGGTGGTGGTAGTAGTAGTAGTTCTGGTAGGTGGTGGTGGTGGTAGTAGTTCTGGTAGGTGGTGGTGGTTTTAGTAGTAGTAGTTCTGGTAGGTGGTGGTGGTGGTATGTATTAGTAGTTCTGGTAGGTGGTGGTGGTTGTAGTAGTAGTTAGTAGTTCTGGTAGGTGGTGGTGGTGGTAGTAGTTCTGATAGGTGGTGTTGGTTGTTGTAGTAGTAGTTCTGGTAGGTGGTGGTGGTGGTAGTAGTTCTGGTAGGTGGTGGTGGTTTTAGTGGTAGTAGTTCTGGTAGGTTGTGGCGGTGGTAGTAGTAGTAGTAGCTGTGGTAGGTGGTGGTTTGTAGTAGTAGTAGTTCTGGTGGTGGTGGTGGTGGTAGTAGTAGTAGTTCTGGTAGGTGGTGGTGGTTGTAGTAGTAGTAGTTTGGTAGGTGGTGGTGGTAGTAGTTCTGGTAGGTGGTGGTGGTTTTAGTAGTAGTAGTTCTGGTAGGTGGTGGTGGTGGTGTAGTAGTAGTAGTTCTGGTAGGTGGTGGTGGTTGTAGTAGTAGTAGTTCTGGTAGGCGGTGGTGGTGGTGGTGGTGGTAGTAGTAGTAGTAGTTCTGGTAGGTGGTGGTGGTTGTAGTAGTAGTAGTTCTGGTAGGTGGTGGTGGTGGTGGTGGTGGTGGTGGTGGTGGTGGTGGTGGTGGTGGTGGTGGTGTGTGGTGGTGGTGGTGTAGTAGTAGTTTGGTAGGTGGTGGTGGTTGTAGTAGTAGTAGTTCTGGTAGGTGGTGGTGGTGGTGGTGGTGGTTGGTGGTAGTAGTAGTAGTTGTTCTGGTAGGTGGTGGTGGTGGTAGTTGTAGTAGTTCTGGTAGGTGGTGGTGGTAGTTAGTAGCAGTAGTTCTGGTAGGTGGTGGTGGTTGTGTAGTAGTAGTTCTGGTAGGTTGTGGTGGTAGTAGTAGTAGTAGTTCTGGTAGGTGGTGGTGGTGGTAGTAGTAGTTCTGGTAGGTGGTGGTAGTAGTAGTAGTTCTGGTAGGTGGTGGTGGTAGTAGTAGTAGTTCTGGTAGGTGGTGGTGGTAGTAGTAGTAGTTCTGGTAGGTGGTGGTGGTGGTAGTAGTAGTAGTTCTGGTAGGTGGTGGTGGTGGTGGTAGTAGTAGTAGTGTCTGGTAGGGGTGGTGGTGGGTAGTAGTAGTAGTTCTGGTAGGTGGTGGTGGTTGTAGTAGTAGTAGTTCTGGTAGGTGGTAGTAGCTGTAGTAGTAATAGTTCTGGTAGGTGGTGGTGGTGGTGGTAGTAGTAGTTCTGGTAGGTGGTGGTGGTGATAGTAGTAGTAGTTCTGGTAGGTGGTGGTGGTGATAGTAGTAGTAGTTCTGGTAGGTGGTGGTGGTGATAGTAGTAGTAGTTTGGTAGGTGGTGGTGGTGATAGTAGTAGTAGTTCTGGTAGGTGGTGGTGGTGATAGTAGTAGTAGTTCTGGTAGGTGGTGGTGGTGATAGTAGTAGTAGTTCTGGTAGGTGGTGGTGGTGATAGTAATAGTAGTTCTGGTAGGTGGTGGTGGTGGTGGTAGTAGTAGTAGTTCTGGTAGGTGGTGGTGGTGTAGTAGTAGGTAGTTCTGGTAGGTGGTGGTGATAGTAATAGTAGTTCTGGTAGGTGGTGGTGATAGTAGTAGTAGTAGTTCTGGTAGGTGGTGGTGGTGGTGGTAGTAGTAGTTCTGGTAGGTGGTGGTGGTAGTAGTAGTAGTTCTGGTAGGTGGTGGTGGTGGTGGTAGTAGTAGTTATGGTAGGTGGTGGTGGTAGTAGTAGTAGTTCTGGTAGGTGGTGGTGGTGGTAGTAGTAGTAGTTCTGGTAGGTGGTGGTGGTGGTGGTAGTAGTTCTGGTAGGTGGTGGTGGTGGTGGTAGTAGTAGTAGTTCTGGTAGGTGGTGGTGGTTGTATTAGTAGTAGTTCTGGTAGGTGGTGGTGATAGTAGTAGTAGTAGTTCTGGTAGGTGGTGGTGGTGGTGTAAGTAGTAGTTCTGGTAGGTGGTGGTGGTAGTAGTAGTAGTTCTGGTAGGTGGTTGTGATAGTAGTAGTAGTAGTTCTGGTAGGTGGTTGGTGGTGGTGGTAGTAGTAGTTCTGGTAGGTGGTGGTGGTAGTAGTAGTAGTTCTGGTAGGTGGTGGTGGTGGTAGTAGTAGTAGTTCTGGTAGGTGGTGGTGGTAGTAGTAGTAGTTCTGGTAGGTGGTGGTGGTAGTTCTAACAAACAACAAAGCGGAAGTAAAAATACTCAGACAATTACTCTTCAAGGCTGGTGAAACAGTCATCCATTTGACTGTGTTAGGAACAGTGAAATATAAACCACCAATAAGAGTCTGGACTGGAGAAGCACAGTGGGGAAGCACAGTGGGGAAGCACAGTGGGGAAGCACAGTGGGGAAGCACAGTGGGGAAGCACAGTGGAGAAGCACAGTGGGGAAGCACAGTGGGGAAGCACAGTGGGGAAGGAGCAATACTTAGAAATGAGTGTCGTAGAGACGTGTGAGGAAGTCCGCTTACACCAGTAAATTTTGAAGGGGTGGAGGGGCAAGCCAGCGGAAGGCATCGGTCAGATGACCAGAAACTCCAGATGTGGGTCATCATATGACTAACACCCGCAGACACTTGTCCTGTTTCCTGACGAACCTTACCTAACCTAACCAGCAGTCTCACCTCACTTAGCAGTAAACAGGTACCTGGGTGCTAGTCCACTGCTCTGGGTGACATCCTGGGGATGGAGAAGTAGTATTCCTTACAGCTGAATTATAAGTTAATTGAAGAATAACAACAGATGTTAGGTTGTAAATTCAGTAGAATATATATGAACCTCCTAATATATAAAGGCAAACTTAAGATTTTCACAGATATCCTGCACATAGGAGAAAGAAACTATTGACGTTTCGGTCCGACTTGGGCCATTAACTAGTCACACAGATACGCGAAGGGAAGGGAGCCAATATATATATATATATACGAGAGGGGAACGGAGCCGGGAGTAGAACGAAAGGAGGTAGTAATATAATTTAAAAATTAGTGGTTCCCTTCCCTTCGCGTTTCTGTGTGACTATTTAATGTTCTAAGTCGGACCGAAACGTCGTCATAAGTTCAGTTCATCTCTGTACGACTTATTTGTATGTTGTTTCAGTCACGATGTTGAGACTTTTTATTCTTCTAAAGATTTAAAATATTTAAAGAATTAAAGCAACTTTTTCTTTACATTATTAGAGATTGATAACATTGTGTTATAAGTATCATTTTTTCCACAGTATTGATATTTCTTAAATATTACTATCATGGTCTTTAACTCCGAACAGCTTGTGCCATACAGCAAATGTAGAGAGTAGTGGTAGGGTGTAGCGCCATCATGGTGTGGGTAGACGTGCCCTGGGCTCCACCCAGCCCTAATATACCAAAGGACTTGGAACTATCCCACCACACGAACCCAACTTTTGGTAAGGTCGGTATTCCTTCCAACGAAAACGGGAACGTAAACAATGGTGTAAAGGACATAAATTACAATCAGACTACTGAAATTCCCAAGACTTTCGAGCCGAGTGCTATAAATGGGAAACAAATAGTGCCGCAGGTACAGTTTTCTAGTGGAAAACAGTGTCAGTCCTTGCCGTGTGTGAATTCAACCAACTTACAGCCACTGAATCAGGCGCCAGACGGAGGGAAGACTCAAGTGTTTCGGGACACGCGCACTGTTAGTAATGTTGATGTGTTGAGCGCTAACCCCGCTCAAAACAATCACTTCTCCACAAATGGAAATGTCACAAACGAAGATATACTCCTTGAACATGAGTGCTTTGGTACAAAACATTTTACGAAAGCAGAAACTGGTAAAAATGTTGTGGACGAGAACGATAACAGTGTTAAAAAGTCTACGTTGAAGGCAAAAGACTGTAAGTTACGTAAGGAACTCAGTAATTATTCCGAATTGCACAGAAAGATTCGAAATGAAATAGCAACTGAGTGCAGCGAGAATTATAGCGAGTTTTGCGACACAGAAAGCTCGGGAAATGAAGCCGTCAAGCCTCGTATCAAGGAATTGATAAATAACCCTGGTGAAACACATGTCTTCGGAAACCAACTCACTTCGCACTCTCATTGTAACATTAATGTGGACGTCGATAAGGACGATGGCTACAACGAACTCCAAAACGAGCCACAAGACGAATCTAATAACACCGACGAATCCAAACCTATTTTGGGCACTCAGGAGGGGGACGATTCCTTTCTTCTTCAGGACAACGTCCGTGTTATTATACCATCGTTCGACGACCATGCGCTCAACGACCTGTCGCCGCTTTTAAAGGGACCCTTTTCTGTAGGGGACTCGGCATCTCATGAGGAATCTTCTACAGCACCTGGTAATGCAGGTAGACGCTACGAGGAGCCTCTACCACAGCAGATGTTTGACCTCCTGCCATTAGGCTGTGAGAGGGATAAATGCCGAAGTAGAGGTATCCTTGCCAGCTGTCAGGTCCCAGAAAGTGTATCCGGCAGACTGCCAGAAGTGTTGCAACACCTCATGCAGATGCACACACAGTTTTCATCAAAGAGGACTCTCCTAAAAGACACATACTACAACAACTTTCCCCTCAGAAGTGCATACCTGAGGGATCCATCTTTAAAATGTTTCTCTCATAAGATGTTCAGCATAGAGTGTTCTCGTGTCGACGGTGACTTCACTCTACCGCGTCCCAGGACGTCCCGTCTCTGTGACCCTCTCAAGTACTCCCAAGTGAACGACTCTCCACCGAGGTACTCTCCCTTAAAAGACTCCTTCCTGAAAGAGTCTCCGCCTTCCTCCCGGGGCCTGGAGCTCACGTGTGAGAGCCCTGACAACCCTGACTCCGGTAGAGGAACCTCCAGCTCGTCGGTGGAGGAGGAAGCTCTTGGACCACAGTTCTTCGCCGACCTCTGCAGTTTGTGGCCAGACCTCATTGTTCGGTAATGGTGTCTCCTATTATTTTCCATTCATCAGTCCTCAATGTCAAATGGTATCCCTTTATATATTTTAGACTTTATTATTTTACATTGTGTTCATCTGTATAATATATGTCTCACATTATCATGCGCCTTATATGCTGGAAGATACGGTAATTAAAACTGAGTATAACATTAGTAACATTTATACGGGTGTAAGACATAGTCTCCGAGTCTTGCAGAGAGGAGGAGACTGCAGACGGGGGAGTTATGTTTGACATTATTGTGCGCTGGAAACCGTTAAGAAGAACATAAGGAATTGGTGAATTTAAAGACAGTGTGGTGGGGCGAAAAGTATAATTCAAAGAGAAGAAGAGGAAATGTTAAGATGGTTTGGCAATGTAGAAATAATTGAAAATGATGGGATGATGAACATAGGGTATAAGTCTTGGGTGTATATAAAGACTAGGGAAATGAGTATGATGGGATGATGAACATAGGGTATAAGTCTTGGGTAGATGGAAAGGCTAGGGAAATGAGTATGATGGGGTGATGAACAAAGGGTAAAAGTCTTGGGTGGATGGAAATGCTAGGGAAATGAGTATGATGGGGTGAAGATAGGGTATAAGTCATGGGTGGATAGATGTAGTGGGCGACACGGGAAGGTTAGAGAGCGCAAATAAAAAGAATTGAAGATTAAAGGGGTGCAAATAAAGGGAGTATTGATTGGTTGTGGATAGAAAAATACAACTGGTATATGTGAACATGATAAACTGTGATGAGTAAACGCAAGTGGTTTGGGGGTAAACCGGTTTGCTGGACTTAAAGTATTGGAGGTGAGAATTCAAATACCCTGGCTTTAGAAAAATACCGAGTGAGCAAGTGATGGTTAAATATTCTTCTTCTTTAGGGGGATGGAAGACAATCTTGTTTCACGGAAAATGGCAGATATGATAACACAAATAAAATAATAATAATAATAATAATAATAATAATAATAATAATAATAATAATAATAATAATAATAATAATAATAATAATTATAATAATAATCACGAAAATTACGTATCTGGGAGTATAATGACGTGTCAGAGGTCAATGCCACTGTGAACTTTGATATACTAATTATTGCAAGTATAAAACTGGGTATGCTGTGCTTACCACCCCTCCTTCCCCAGCCGCCGATTTACATATGTGAATGTGATACTTACAACGTGTATTATGTCATGTGTAGAGTCTGGATGTGATGTTACAGTTCTGAATGATGTTCCTTACATGTGCTTTCCATGAAGAAAATTGTTGATAGTCATGTGTGCGCGATGGCTATGCATGACGGATGCTCATGGAAACAGGAACTCTGAAGATTGATCTGTATATTTTGACCTCTTTCTGGGGTCCTCTTCAGCAGAAGAGGATTCCAGAAGATTAATTAATCCTCTGTGTTTCTGTCTCTGTTGTGGGTTATTAGTGAACATTGTTTTAAGTGTTCATTACACTTTAGTATTCATGTACACGTATATTTATGTATACTTATGTATACTCTTACTAGCATGTATATTTACTTTCTTACTGGAAAAATATGTATACGTGTATATTTAATATTGTATTTAATATTTTTTTTTTTGCTGTGATAATATGCTTGTATCTATTTTATTTTATTTATTACTTTAATTAATAATTTTTCTTTGTGAAGTAAAACATATATAACTGTATTTTTATTTTTCGTTTAAGTAATAAAATATTTTTTTTTTTTCGTATTTGAGGTTTACTAAGACGGACTTATCATCTCAAATTTCCCATACTTCTATGTACAGGACTGATGAAGCCACTGTGTGGCGAAACGTTTCCTCAGTAAAGATACCCAAGTGTTGCACATGTGTCTAATTTATCAACTTGTCGGTTCTCTGAACCATTTATTTATTAAGAGTTATACACAAATAACCCCCACATAGGTGAAAGAAATTTATCACTACGCTTCAGTCCAACTTGGATTATTTACAAGTCTTCTCTCTCCTATGTGTGTGTTGTTCCAGTCATGGTATTGTGCCTTCATGTTCTTCACTAAGAGTGTGTTCGTTGACAGGTTGGCGCACGACATCTCGCTGGAGTCACCTTGTGTTGAAGAAGCTCCAGACCCGCCCGACCCACCTAGCGAGGTGGAGACCCGTCGCTCCTCCCTAGTGGGTGATGCCCACCCTCAGAGCCCGCGTACTGGTCGCACCCGCGCCACATCCACCTCCTCATCCACTGGCAAGTGTTGTTCCGACGATGATCCATGCTGCCCACAGCTCATGGTGGAGCAGACCCAAGAGCTCAGAGCCGCATGCAAGAGCCCTAAACGGAATATTCAGATGCTGGCTTCGAATTGCACGGCATTACAGGTTGGAGGGCCATGTATCAGCGCAGGCATCCAGCCCACCTCCTGCCCCAGCCCTATATGCGGCAGCCCGGCCCCTAGAAGGCCCCGACCTGGGCCCGTGTCTTCTGGGCCCTCCAGTGTGGAGAGTGTAGATAGTAGCGACGCTGGTGATGCCTATGAGTTCTTCTCCGGGGACCTGGAGGAGATAATGGACAGCTGCTCGCCTCCTGACGGTGACCTGGAGGGAGCTGAGTCCCCTGGGACTCCAGACCAAGTGAGAGGAAGCGACGGAAACTTCCAGAGATCCCCAAACATAAGAAATGTAAGTGTCAATATTAGCTTTTCCAATATTTTTTCCCAGCTTTTCCAGGATTTTACGAACCTTGTTGCTTCAGGTGTTGATGCCCAGGATTCACAGCAGGTGAGAGTACCCGATCTGAATTTTTGTATCCTCAGATTCGTATCCTGCGATTCCCATCCTGTATCTCGTATCCTGTGTTTTATTCGCAGTGTTTCACGTCAGTATATAATCCAGTGTGTCGGGTAGGTGATAAAAACTCTACTTACGGGAAAAAACATAGTGGATTGTTCATGCATAAAGTGTTTCCCACGCATGTGCAACTTAGTTCTGTAGTTTGTTCGTGGGCCATTTAAGACCGTAATATTGACATCAAGGATACTGCAGTCCCTGAAATATAGGTGAAAGTGGACTCTTAGTATGTATACATTGAGATATTTCCTTGTTTACACTCGCTGGGATACACGCCTCTCGATGTATATACACTGAAACACACCTCTTAGTATGTATACACAGAGACACATCTCTTAAATGCTTTGGCCTGGTGGCAAAAGCTCTCGCTTCATACGGTGAGGGTCCGGGTTCGATTCCCAGCGAGAGTAGAAACATCAGACGTGTTTCCTTACATCTGTTGTCTATGTTCCCCATCAGTAAAATGGGTACCTAGGTGTTTGTGGACTGGTGTAGGTAGCATCCTGGGACAAAACTGACCTAATTTGCGGGAAATGCTCTGCATAACAAGGGTTATCCTGGGTGGCTAACCCTCCCTACCCTGGGTTATCCTGGATGGCTAACCCTCCCTACCCTGGGTTATCCTGGGTGGCTAACCCTCACTACCATGGGTTATCCTGGATGGCTAACCCTCCCTACCCTGGGTTATCCTGGGTGGCTAACCCTCCCTACCCTGGGTTATCCTGGGTGGTTAACCCTCCCTACCCTGGGTTATCCTGGGTGGCTAACCCTCCCTACCCTGGGTTATCCTGGATGGTTAACCCTCCCTACCCTGGGTTATCCTGGGTGGCTAACCCTCCCTACCCTGGGTTATCCTGGGTGGCTAACCCTCCCTACCCTGGGTTATCCTGGGTGGCTAACCCTCCGGAATTATAAATTCGAATCTATCTTATCCTATCTTTCACTTTGAAATTTGCAGAGTCATGTTTCATCCAAGTTATCTAAGTCAAAATCAAAACCTATTTTTGTTTTTCATTTTTTTAATATAAATGAATTAAGAAAACTTTGTTTTTTCATTCAGTGATAATTCTACATTAACTTAAGGTGGATAAATTTTGAGCTGAGGAAATTAAATAAATATACAGATAAAGAGGAAATAGGAGAAAGAAAGTTTATGACGACATTTCGGTCCAGGTCAGACCGAAACGTCGTCATTAGTTTCCATCTCTTGAGTGCGGGTTGTGTGTTGTTCCGGACACGATATTGTTCCTTTTTTGTTCCTTAAAGTAAATATATGAGCATATGTTACCTGGGATTTGCGCATGTTTGCCCTCTCAAGTGTGAGAGAAAACGCACCAGTCTTGTGGCTCCATCTTTAAAGTTGTTGTTCTTGTTGTGTCGCCGGTAACACTTCCACTTGTCTACTCTCCCGCTAATGTTGGACACTGTCACAGGCAGTAAAATACTTTGATGGACGAGTTTAAGAGAGTGGGAAATTTGGATAGGGAGAGGGATGAGAGGGGAAAGAGAGAGAGGCGTGGGACGGTGTGTGTATGTGTGTGTAGGTGCGCGGTGGCGTGTTGGCGGAGTTGACCAGACACGCCTGTAACATTCCCACTTCGACCTCCGTATGTTACTTTCCTTGCCTCGGCTACCTCCACGTTCACTCCTCCTCTGCTGACCCCCATGTGTGACCTGCTGACCTGGCAGCCTCCGGGGCTCCTCAGGTCATAGTGATGCTTCCCCAGGACCCTGACACTGAGGCTCCTGAAGGTGACTGCTAGAGCTGGAGGAGGAACGCTGCAGAGGTAAGACCCGCCCCATGCATTCTTATACTGGAGTGTCTGCAGGACCTTAAGCTGAGCTTCGCCCTAGTGTGTATGTGTGTGTGTGTGTGTGTGTGTGTGTGTGTGTGTGTGTGTGTGTGTGTGTGTGTGTGTGTGTGTGTGTGTGTGTGTGGTGTGTGTGTGTGTGTGTGGTGTGTGTGTGTGTGTGTGTGTGTGTGTGTGTGTGTGGTGGTGGGTGTGTGTGTGTGTGTACCGAGAGTGTTGGGTGTGTGTGTGTGTGTGGTGTGAGTGGCGAGTGCTGTGTAGTGTTCTATGTTAATTGAGGTGTTGCGGGATGTTGTGTGTTAGTTTAGGGTGTTAGTGTGTGTGCTAGTTGATAAATGTTTGACTGTGTAGTGTGTGTTAGTTTGGCAGGTGTTGTGTAGAGTTGTGTTAGTTTGACAGGTATTGTGTAGTGTTTTAGTTACAGGTGTGTTAGCTCGTTTTGACAGGTATTGTGTAGTGTTTTATGCTAGTTTGACAGGTATTGTGTAGTGTTTTATGCTAGTTTGACAGGTATTGTGTAGTGTTTTATGCTAGTTTGACAGGTATTGTGTAGTGTTTTATGCTAGTTTGACAGGTATTGTGTAGTGTTTTATGCTAGTTTGACAGGTATTGTGTAGTGTTTATGCTAGTTTGACAGGTATTGTGTAGTGTTTTATGCTGTTTGACAGGTATTGTGTAGTGTTTTATGTTAGTTTGACAGGTATTGTGTAGTGTTTTATGTTAGTTTGACAGGTATTGTGTATTTTTCTACAGGTGTTGTGTAGTGTTCGTTGTTTGACAGTATTGTGTAGTGGTGTTTAGTTTGACAGGTATTGTGTAGTGTTGTATGTCTGTTTGACAGGTGAAGTATTGTAGTTGACAGTGTTTGTGTGTATTTGAATTTAGTGACAAGTGTTGTATGTTAGTTGGCAGTATGTAGCTTAGTGCTGTGTTATTTGACATATCAAGGTGTTGTGATGATCTTTTGTTCGACAGATGTTGTGTAGTGGAGATGTATATCGTTTGACAGGTGTTGTGTAGTGTTGTACGTCTTTTGACAGGTGTTGTGTAGTTTGTGCGCCATTTTGACAGGTGTGTATGTTGGGTGTCATTTTGACAGATGTTGCGTAGTGTTTGACAGGTGTTGTATCGTAGTCGCTCGTTTACCTTATGTGAACCTTCGTTATTAGTGCCACTACTATCAAGGAGAGTGCCATGATCTTACTGACGGTCCCTTGATGTTGAAAAATGGAAGATTGTCTTCCTTCCTTTGGATCAAACCTGCTTACTTCCCATTCTCTTAGCGCTGTGTGACCCTTTACGGGCTTAGCGCTTCCTTCATCATACAGTAATAATGATATATTGTATACGAGTGGTGTACAATACCGACAAGATAGAATTAGACACATGTGCAACATCTGAGTATCCTTATTTGTAGACGTCTACAAAGAAAGATACCCAGATGTTGCACATGTGTCTAACTCTTCAATAATGATACATGTGACACTGGATGAAGCTGTGTGGATGACACGGTTGATGTATCCAATTTTTCTCAAAACAAGGAAGAGAATGGATGAAAGATATTCATTGTTTTCCATGTGGAACACTTTCGTGTTGGTGAGTTTGTGTGTTGCTCCTCCCTCGTCTATGGTACTGGCTGAGGGGAGAGAGAAGTTGAGGGAACCAAGGCTGGGTTTTCCCTCTCTCCCCTCTACACATCGTTTCCCCTCAGTTACTACTTCTACGTCCATCCACTCTTGTGAGAAAATGTTGAGTTCCAGGAACACTAGAGTGAAGGAGTCATCTATCTGGCTGCTGGCCATCACTGTGTACAGGAACACTAGAGTGAAGGAGTCATCTATCTGGCTGTCGGCCATCATTGTGTACAGGAACACTAGAGTGAAGGAGTCATCTATCTGGCTGCTGGCCATCACTGTGTACAGGAACACTAGGGTGAAGGAGTCATCTATCTGGCTGCTGGCCATCACTGTGTACAGGAACACTAGAGTGAAGGAGTCATCTATCTGGCTGTTGGCCATCATTGTGTACAGGAACACTAGAGTGAAGGAGTCATCTATCTGGCTGTTGGCCATCATTGTGTACAGGAACACTAGAGTGAAGGAGTCATCTATCTGGCTGCTGGCCATCACTGTGTACAGGAACACTAGAGTGAAGGAATCATCAATCTGGCTGTTGGCCATCACTGTGTACAGGAACACTAGAGTGAAGGAGTCATCGCTCTGGCTGCTGGCCATCACTGTGTACAGGAACACTAGAGTGAAAGAGTCATCTATCTGGCTGCTGGCCATCACTGTGTACAGGAACACTAGAGTGAAGGAGTCATCTATCTGGCTCCTGGCCATCACTGTGTACAGGAACACTAGAGTGAAGGAGTCATCTATCTGGCACCTGGCCATCATTGTGTACAGGAACACTAGAGTGAAGGAGTCATCTATCTGGCTGCTGGCCATCACTGTGTACAGGAACACTAGAGTGAAGGAGTCATCTATCTGGCTGCTGGCCATCACTGTGTACAGGAACACTAGAGTGAAGGAGTCATCTATCTGGCTGCTGGCCATCATTGTGTACAGGAACACTAGAGTGAAGGAGTCATCTATCTGGCTGCTGGCCATCACTGTGTACAGGAACACTAGAGTGAAGGAGTCATCTATCTGGCTGCTGGCCATCACTGTGTACAGGAACACTAGAGTGAAGGAGTCACTATCTGGCTGCTGGCCATCATTGTGTACAGGAAACACTAGGGTGAAGGAGTCATCTATCTGGCTGCTGGCCATCACTGTGTACAGGAACACTAGAGTGAAGGAGTCATCTATCTGGCTGCTGGCCATCACTATATACTTCTGTGGTGTACTCATCTATTTGTGGTTGCAGGGGTCGATTCACAACTCCTGGCCCAGCCTCTTCGCTAGTGTTGCTGTCATGGATCTTCATTAGTGTTGCTGTCATGGGTCTTCATTAGTGTTGCTGTCATGGGTCTTCATTAGTGTTGCTGTCATGGGTCTTCATTAGTGTTGCTGTCATGGATCTTCATTAGTGTTGCTGTC